ACCATAATGTTTAAATTATAATTTTTGTCTCTCTCTCTCTCTTAGTTAACTTACTTGGCTTGTTCTTCGTGTTCGAAAACTGGGCAAGGAAATTTTTTCTCTGATAATAAAGTAACCAAGTTCACCTCAGTTCATTAAAGAACTTTTCAAGGTTCCACCTTTGATGAGGTCCTTTCAAATTACCTAAAATTTCACGACTGTCCTTGCTTACTAACTTCAGAGCCGTAACCAGAAAAAAATTATGATTGAGGCAATGTTCATGATTAAATTCTCTTCCTAGGTATTTAGGGTGTTAAGGATGACTATACACAACAAAAAAAGGAAAAATGACTGAGATAAGTGCCTCGGTTAGCCTGTTACTAGCTGCGGGAACTTTGGGCATGGATGAAAAGTTCTCGTATACCTGCGTTATTTAGCCACTGAGAAGCGAATGCAATGCTCTTGAGTTTCCTTGCGACTTGTTCCGGCGGTCGCGAACTTCATATTATGAAGATTTGATTGTGTTGTACAGGGATCAATAAAAAGCAGGTTACAGTTCCACAAGCCGGTTGAAATCACGCTATCCTGCTGAACTCACGAAGCAAGAATTGTATCACAAGTGCGAAGGAGAAGAGGTAACGACGAATTTCGGTCTCTGTGCCACCTGAAAAAAAGGTCAAAAATATCAAGAACAACTTATTGCATTACAAACAACGCTCTGGTAAAAACAATGAAACAAGCCTCGGATTTTTTGTCTGAAGGAGTTTAAGTTTCAGACGTGTATAGTCGCGAAACGACTGTTCTTTCGGTATATAGTCGCTAAGTTCCCGAGAAGTACCCGACTCCTTTGACATAAATTGCAGGCTCAAAGTTCGTGATTGCGATACTGATTCGTACCCAGTACACCTCTCTACCTAGAATCTTCGAGAAAATGAAAAGAAATGTTCGTTCACTTACCTTCCGCTGTAAACTTCTGAATCTGGGCTCAATATCACAGGTGCAACGCTAAACAGAATAAATACTACCAGGTTACAAATCCACATTAAACGGTATTACAATTACTAGGGCAGTCACACAATGCTTCACCAAACTCACGCAACAGCAGCATTGCGTGACTACCCTGACAACACCTTCAAAGGACACTAGCAAAACCATTGCTGAGAGAAATTCTGTGTTATGAGAGTTTGAACAGAGTAGAGTACATACTTGGGTAGTTTAAGAAGGTTGATAAGCTCCTGGGCTCGCATCAGAAGATCTGGGTAACACTCTGAATCTGAAAGAAGCTCCTACAAATAAAAAAAAGATAAAAGATTTAGTTCGGTAAATAATCAGCCCAATTGCTTCAAACAGTTATTTTGCGTTGCACATATCCAGGCTGAAGAAAGGACTATATAATACAGGCGGAAAATGGTCTTTCCTTTTAACAAATCCTTCTCATCAAAACTAACAAAAACTCACTGGTTTCTGCCGGACCACTTTGCTCAAGCATAAAATAGCTCTCTGTATTACATCTTGACATCTGGATGCAAGCTAAGCGGATAAAAATAACAACCAAATCTCGTTATGTCTCGGAAACAAGTACATGTGTACATGAAATGTTACGGTTTGAATCGGAAATCGAAAAATTGAAAATCGGTTAGACATCCGAGTGAGCCTTCGCAAATGTAGAAATCACCGTTAAAGAGGATATTGTCCTGATGTACCACCAGATTCTAGGAAATCTTGGCTAAGAAACAGTTTTATTCCAAATCACAAGCTGGTGATTGTGTTAAATTGTTTCAGAGATTCAGTAAATAATTATTTGCCTGTTTTGAATGCTGGGCGTTTCCTTTCAGATATTTTAGGATTCCAAATTTCCCGCGCGCCGCCATTTTATTTTTGCAAAGCTTGATGGGAAATTATGATGTCAATGGGCGGTTGCTTTTCAACCAAGATTCCCTTTAAAAGTAACATAAAAACAATGAACAGGAGTGAAACAGGAGAATTAGTATCCTGGCTCAACGTGTACCTTGGCCA